CTGGGATTTCCATTTAAGGTTAATTGCATGAACAAGATTACAAAATAAGCTAAAACACTACTGCTTCCTTGGTGTTTGCCCGGGTCGTGTCTATGGTAAGGAGTTGTTTTGACAAGAAACCAGGTTGGAAGACTTTGTAAAGATGGCAGGGAGTACAGTCAGGCTGCTGACCATAAGCTGAACCACAGCTGCAACAGTGGAGCTATATAGGAGGATCCATGCTACCAATAACAAAGTGCAGTGGCTGTCCTTGAAAAATAATGACAAGCACAGTTTGCTATTTGCCCAACCTTGCTTTGAAAACCAGACAGGTAAGTGCTTAGGACTTGGCACAAGGATTATCTGTGTAAACTGTTGTTTCAATGACTGATCAGAAAGTATGAAGGACATTGCATGAATTCAACCTCTGTGGACAGTGTCAAAGAAGAAAACCATTATTCACAAAGTTTCTGTCAAAGAACATAAAAAGAAGCCTGATTAATACTGGTAGCACATTCTTAGGTCAGATAAATCCAAAATAAATGAGTATGGATGAGATGGGGCACACAGCATGCCAGGACTGTGACAGTGATTGCATAGTGCCAACTATTAAAGCTGGAGGTGGGAGCGTGCTGATACAGTATGAGTGCAAATGGTGTGGGAGAGATATTTATAGATGTTCATATAGATACTATGAATGTAAGTTTGTATACCTAAATATTGAATCAAAGATGACTCCCAGTCTTAAGATGCTTGGCAGGAGATCTATTTTCCAACAAGACAATGGTTCTAAACACAATAATTCCGATGGAGCACCTTTGGAGTAAAGCGAAAGATGCAGTAGAACAACAAAATCTCTCCAGCAAAGAGCATCTGGAAAGAACTATGTGATGTTTGGCAGAACGTCTCTCCAGATGTTGTTTGATCCAGGCAGATGGAATCTCTCACTGAAAATATAAGTGGGCATACAAAGTAAAGCTATGGAATCTCACTAATTAAGGGTACTGGTTCTTAAGACCTTTTGATATAGTTTAATTAATCAAAAATATTTCTTTTCAAATTAATTGGCTGCAGCTAAAAATGAAATTGTGTGAAAATGTAATGCATTATAATGCTCAAAATTATCATGGTTATCACAATTATCATTATTCTCAAATTCAAAGAGAATTATTACAGACTCAAGGTTCAGGTTCAGAAACAAATAATAAAAAAATAAAAACAGTTAAAATGAAACAAACAGAAAAATACATAAAAATGAGAACAAAATAAATTTAAACATCAGGTTTCTTAAAACAGCGGAAAATGTACTAATTCGAGATGGCACGAACAGTTTGCTAGCACTCGTCCATCTAGGCTTTTTCAATAATATCCTTAGGGCGTCATTGTAAGCCACTGACAGTTTCCGAAGATTGCCCTTTTTATAATTACACCACAGATGGGCAGTGTACAAGGAAGTACAATAAGCTTTAAACAAAGCCGGTTTTACTCCAACTGAGCATGAACCAAATTTCCGTGCCAGTATATTAGCTTGTACGTACAACATGTGGCACTGCCGATATATATCCCCGTCATCAAACAATCACTAATGACATGACCCAAATACTTAACTTCATTGCACACAGTTAAAATATTATCAGATAACTTAAAAGAAGGAAATACAAGGGACCTGTCCTCGTTTGTACGGCATATCATAATGACACTTTTGACAGCATTATACTTGACATCGTGACATTCCCCAAACACTGAGCACATGTTCAAGAGCTGCTGAAGACCTGAGCTGGGACTAAAAATCACAAGGTCGGCTGCATACATTAAATGATTCACAACTTTGTCACCAACCATACATGAGACTTTACTGGCATAAAAGTTTCAATAAAAATTATTGCCAAAGCATCAAAACACTATTATTTGTAAGCATTTAAATTATTGAAAAATTCAAAAGAGAGAAAAAAGAAGCATGTGGATTGGTACTGTATATAATTATATGTGTGTCTGTGCGTGTGCTTGCTATGTGTGTGTCTAGGTCATTCCTTGTGTATTCAGGCAAGTTCATACACAAGATACCTAGCTGCTCTGTCGCAGCTGTCAAATCAATTTGTGGCTGTGAATTATCTTCTTTTAAAGCCCACCAGCTGAATGTGTTGTAGTCTCCACTAACTTGGTGATATTTCCTGTGGGAGTCTGGCTCTCGGTCACCCTGGTTTGGCACCAGAGATATTACGTTGCCATGCATCACTCTCGTCGGTTACTACAATGACGGACAGTGTGTTTTATTCAATTTCAGACATGTTTTCAAACAGCATGTGTCCTTGATAGAAGACCTGAGTGGCTAAGTGGTTTTTGTGATGCAACATTGCAAAGCGGCTTCACAAAACTCCCATGTGAACATTCAGGACCCACTCTTTTTTCATTGCCGATGTTCACAAACTATTCTAGCTGTAAATGCATCACGTCCACCACACAGTTGTGGTGTTTTACAGCTGACATTAAGCAGGGCAGTCAGCTCGGTGAGTTAGTGTTTTAATGCCCACGAGCTGAATGTTGTAGTGTCTGCTAACTGGGTGAATTTTGCTCACAACTGTGGCTCTGTGACCATGGTTGGGTATTCACAGCGGGCTGGGTGGAGAAGAGGTGATTAATCCCAGAGTCCCGTGCTAGCGCTAGCTAGAGTTTGAATTCTTACTGATTGTAGCTTTAAACAGTGGAGTTGGAGTAAAGAGGAGTGGGACGTGCGTACTTCCTCATGTTTGTGCTAGATTTCTGGAGATTTTATTTCTGCTGAGTTTTCTGAATGGACTTCTGAATAAACTCTGTTAACCACAGCTTCAGTGGTGTAGTTCAAAGATGTTAGCCAGGTAACTTCCTAACTGAGCAAACATTATTAATAGGATTTTGTTTCTGAGGTTGAGCTATATCCGGCTGTACTTGAGCAACCCAGCTGAAATATTTCTGAGATTAAGAAGTGCGGCTTTGGGTTTTGTATTCAATCAGATGTTGTTTTTGAGATATATAGGTATAAATTACATGAGACAGATATTTTGTAGTTCATGTTTTCAGAACCTTGAAGAATTCAGCAGCTGAAATTGGCTCAAGTCCAAACCAATTTAGAAAAAAAAAAACTAACACTGTTGAAAGCAATAGAATTTCACAGATGGCCGTGACCCATCAACAGTGTTTTTTCTTGCCAAAATGTATTTTAAAAGACACACGCATCAACATTTACACCCACAATAAATGCATCACCTGTCTAATACTAGGCTCAGTTTGTGGCTTCACTGTGTTGTATGTTGCAGGGTATAATATCTGTGGAATTCCTCTTATTCTCCCTTGCTGTATGATCTTTTTTGTATCACCATACTAATCTTCCACACTGAATCCATCAACTGAAGATACTACAAAAGCATGTTATAGCCAAATACCTGTACATTTGGAAGGCTTTGTGTAGTTTTTGGAAATTTTGTTATCTGGAAAGAGCATAGTTTATTATTCAAAAAATACATTTGTTTGTTTTGTATTGTTGTTATTCAATAACAAACCAGTTGGATGGAAGTCAAATGTGACTAAAATCGAGGGTTGAGTCCCTGGTAGCAATATCTCCAGCTTAGATACAGTACTTCCAGTGATAACAGCTGTCAGTGTTGGGAAGCTTGTGAGGGATTGTGGGCTTGCTGATGTCCTTATATACAGTGCATGAACACATGCACATTTTCCTGCTTTACTACACCTGTATAGATCAGGAATGTGAAAAAATGTTAGACTAAAATTTGAGTAGAGTGACAAGTTGTCATTTTACATGGGGTTAACTGGACTGTTTCTTGGCCAGACCTAGAGGCAGTCTGGTACATAACCAACTGTAAAACAACAACTAGATTTTTTTTTTTTTACACATCACTTATGTACAGTTGAACAAAACTAACAAGTGAGCTTTTAAAGCTGGTGGTAGGTGGATTCCATTTCTTTTACACAGCTCTAAACTAAGCTACCCAGGTGTGCTGGCTGTGTTTTTAATATGTAA